AGTATTGAGTTGTTTATGGAGATGCAGTGAGCATAAAATACTGCTGCGTGTTTTACAGTATAGATTTATACTAATAGTTTATATAGGTTTAATTCAGTGTGTAATTTAGTGACACAATTGTAGCCACTTTCAAAGAGAAACATATTCAGTTACTCTTAGTCACTTGTTGATTTATAAGTTTAATTGTTAGAGTGTAGAAAGGTGGTATTTTCTATATTGGTTTAATTAATATTCTTCATTGTACTGTAAATTGCTGGGTTTGACTTTGGGTCATTTTACTGTCTTTTAGCTGTGCATAAATTCTATATTTTGTATTTTGTTTTACATCTGGGGTTTTTCCCAATATTTACATTTCTATTCTAATTAAATTATTTATATTTTCTGATTTATCTAAGAGTTTTATTATTCACAGAGTTTATTTCTGGTAATTTATTCAAACACAGCAAATATTTATATTCTCATCTGCCTTATTTACATTACGTCATTGAAATATTCAGAGGGGCCTACTTCAACATATCTGTAGGCGTTTAGTGTATTGAACCTGGAGCGCTATCTTAAACTTAATACACCTAGGTGGCGCTACATATATATATATATATATATATATATATATATAAACTACAAAACAAAAGCTGTGCTATTTGAGTTGACTCAACTTAAGTCAAGTCAAGCGCATCTTTGGTTAAAAGCTGATTCAACTGTGCAGCAAGTTGCCTTACAATTGTAAGTATGATTCTTTCTGACCAATCACTGATGGAACGCAGTCGAAAAACACCCTATGTAACCTTATGTTTTACTTTGCAACTACCAATAGGCTAATTTACAATATTTCTAAATAAAAATTTGACCTAATCATCATTTTAATGTTTTTTCCCCTCTCTAGCAACTCTTTTTGTTAATGTAGCTTATTTTCTGGAACATCGAGTATTAAACAGACCTGTATTTGTGCTTGTGAGGGCTCCGTCTGCGGTCTTTGCTGTTGTGATAGTAGGGACATGCGTAGCCCTGACGGCACAGGCGAGGAGGTTTTTTGCAAAGCTCAGTCTTATAGTGAGAGAGCACAAAACTGTTATCTGCAATAAACAAATGAAAAGCATGACACACTAATACAAAAGCGTTTTCAAGTTGTGTGTGTATGTGTGTGAAGAGGCTGATTTCACCTTGCCAGCGTGGATCTTCACTCAGGATCTTTTCTATGAGTGCAGTGCTGGCCACAACTCCAGACTGGCCTTCTCCAGACGAGCCCTCGGTCAACCCAGTAGTGGCCTGGGCTTCTAATACCTGGACCTCTCTGATCAGAACAAAAATAAATACATATATCACATGGTAGATGGTAAGGTTTAAAATAATACTTTTGTACAGCAACAATGCTTTAAATCAATAAAAAGTGACTTAGCAAAGAGATCAATTAAATTTGAACGCTGTTCTGTTAAAACTGCCGTTTATAAAAGATAACTGAAAATAATATTAAGTAAAAATTTTTTAATGATAATTATTTGAAATATTTATGAGGTTGCAAATCAGAAGGATCACATGAAAAAAACACTAAACATATTTTATTATAGTTTAAATTTACACAAAGATACAAACAAGCAGTTCAGACATAATAAACAAAACAACAATAGGAACATAATTTAAAAGAGAGCATTGACCCTATAAATAATTCCGCCTAGTAAAAAGATGCTGCCACAGTTGACCATACTAAACAGGACTAAAAACAAGACAGTTGGTCCCCTCAGGAAGGGACTTATGCTTTAAACAATCTAAAAAATAAATCTCTTTAATTTACACTTGAATACTTTCAGTGCTGAAGCCATTTTTAATTCTAGCTGCAGCGCGTTCTAAAGGCGAGGACCGGCTACAGAGAATGCACGTTTGCCCCTGCTTTTTTTGGGACTTTTAATTGAAACTGATCAGCGGAGCACAAGTGTCTAGATGGAGTGTAGGCCACAATCAGTTGAGATAAATAATGGGGGCCCAGGCCATGTAAGGCTTTGTACACAAAAAAAAGGATTTTAAATTTGATTCTTTGTCTCACGGGTAACCAATATGGCCAAAATGGGAGCAACATGTACATATTTCAGGCTTTTTGTTAAAATCTAGCTGCAGCGTTTTGCAGGAGATCGATCTGAGACTTAGGCAGCCCAAAATACAGAGTTGCAATAGTTTAACAGGGAGGTTATAAGCACTTGTATAGCAATTTCTAGAGAATGCAAATTGAGGGAGGACTTCCTTGTAATAAGAAGTTAGTAAAAGCTATTAAAATATGTTTATTAAATATTAAGTTCTAGGACCAATTTCCTTCTTATATTTTGGCCTAAATAAACACAATATTGCTGACAATATGCTTTTATTGATCCAAAATTGATGCATTTTTTTAAAAAAAAAAAGGACATGACTAGCATACTAGACTAGTATGACTTAGCATGTTACTAGCATGATTTTAGCATGAATTAGCATGTTACTAGCATGATTCTAGCATTAATTAGCATGTTACAAGCATGATTCTAGCATGAATTAGCATGAATTAACATGTTACAAGCATGATTCTAGCATGAATTAGCATGAATTAACATGTTACAAGCATGATTCTAGCATGAATTAACATGTTACTAGCATGATTCAGCATGAATTAGCATGTTACTAGCATGACTCTAGCATGAATTAGCATGTTATTAGCATGATTCTAGCATGAATTAACTTGTTTCTAGCATGATTCCAGCATGAACTGGCATGTTACTAGCATGATTCTAGCATAAATTAACATGTTTCTAGCACTGAATCTAGCATGAATTAGCATGCTACTAGCATGATTCAAGTTTGAATTGGCATGTTACTAGCATAATTCTAGCATGAATTAGCATGTTACTAGCATGACTCTAGCATGACTCTAGCATGAACTGGCATATTACTAGCATGATTCTAGCATGAATTAAAATGTTTCTAGCATGAATCTAGCATGAATTAGCATGCTACTAGCATGATTCTAGTATGAATTAGCATGTTACTAGCATGATTCAGCATGAATTAGCATGTTACTAGCATGACTCTAGCATGAATTAGCATGTTATTAGCATGATTCTAGCATGAATTAACTTGTTTCTAGCCCTGAATCTAGCATGAATTAGCATGCTACTAGCATGATTCTAGATTGAATTAGCATGTTACTAGCACGATTCTAGCATGAATTAGCATGTTACTAGCATGTTACTAGAATGATTCTAGCATGAATTTGCATGTTACTAACATGATTCTAGCATGAATTAAAATGTTTCTAGCATGAATCTAGCATGAATTAGCATGTTACTAGCAAGGTTCTAGCATGACTTAGTATGTTACTAGCATGATTCTAGCATGAATTGGCATGAACTTAACATGATTCTAGAATGAATTAACATGTTTCTAGCACTGAATCTAGCATGAATGAGCATGTTATTAGCATGATTTGGTGCAAAATGTTAATAAGAAGTTTGAAATACAGATGAAATACTGCTCTGAAGACCAGCTACACACCTGATGTCATATACAGGGCTTCTGAGGTCATGTGACCCATGAGCAAAGGCACAGTGAGGGCCGTTTTTACTGCAGTGCCCCTTTCCATCAGTCTCGTGGATACAGGAGCCGGTCTTATAGTAGCGCAGGTGATACCGCCTCTCTGTGTCTCCAGCTGTTCTGTGTAGAAATGGACACCTGCCAATAGACACATATTTTGAAGGGGTTATAAACTGAGGAATCAAAATTAGCTTGCTCTTTTGACATATAAGAGGTTTCTGTACAATTAAAAACATCCTATAGGTTTCAAAACATTCATTTTGTCCACTATTGGCTGTTCAGCTCCACCCACTGATTCATGAATTCAGTAGGTAGAGAGAGGCGAATGAATGCAGGTCTATGTAGAAACTAAATGATGAAATGAAGATAACATAACCCACAAAACTGCAGTATCTGTACAGCGTCCATTTGATCCCAACATTAAAAAAGTAGTAGATAAACTTAATTTTTTAAATAAAGTTTCCGAACCACATCAGTATAGGGATGCAACGATTAACCGGTTTCACTATTAACCGCAATTTAATTCGTCACGGTTAATTAATCGTAAAGGCTTCTCAACACCGTGTTTTTGAACGGAACAAAACTGCAGCAACTAAACATAGTTATGCCAACTTTGCGCTAGTTTGTACACCGAGACTAATAACCAGGCACACTGGACTGATTATGACTGAGGCCCCGTTTACACTAGTGCGTTTTAGTTTTAAAACGGCGTTGTAGAATGAAAACGATCCGCGTCCACACTCGCGTTTTACCCAGCGTTTCTGAACAGCTCTCCGTCCACACCAAAACGCTGAAAACGCACATCACGTGACTACACACACACTCTCGGGCAAGCGATCCAGTATTTCTACCCAGATGAGAGCTCTGCTTGTCGGACTGCTCATCACGCATCTCCCGCTGGATCTAATCTCACTATATTTGCTAAACGTGATATTTCATTCATGTTGTTGTCTTTATCTAACGACATAGGCTAATTCCCTGACTTTGGTCATTGGAATCTATTAAGTTACTTGTTCACGGGTAACATGTTTTGGTTAAGCGCAAAGATAAGTTAATGATTAATCCAGGTACATTGACTGATCGCTTGCCTTTATTTCCTACAATGTATAAACTTATTGTATGTTATACTTTTATAATTATCGATTATTAAAACTGATATTCAGCAAAAGAGAGGGTGTGTTTCGTATTTTCACTGAAATTGAAAGGCAACAGTTGTTTATCGGCTCCGTTTTGTTATAAATATCCACACAGTGAAGATGACGCTCATATATGCAGCACGACGCCTCAACATGTCTGCTGTCTGTTAAGTTGCTAATATTAAAAAGAAAATAGGCAGTTCCTTAAATCATGTATACATTTTATTGTTGAGAAAGTGAAACGTAGCCAAGGTGATGTGAATGAAGTTCTAAAGTACACTGTTCCCTTTGAAGATTTACCAGTGTCCTCGGTATGTTTTCCATATCAAACTGAGAAGGGGGAGACTGCAGCCTTGATCAAACTTGCGAAGTCTTAACTTACACGGAGAAGATGCGAGACTGAACTGTGTGTGGGCTACTTAATATTGAGGAAAAGCCTCAATCAGAGAGGCGAACATTTGCAGCCCCGCCTCCGTTTTCAGATGTCTCCGTCTTTCCCCATCCACACTGAAGGCTGATTTATACTTCTGCGTCAAACGTCGGCGTATGCTACGGCGCTGATGCATAGCCCTTCGCCGTGGCCATCGCCGTCACTGACGTGCACCTCTCAAAAAATGTAACTACACGTCGCAACGACGCGTAGCGTAAGCTCTGTGATTGGTCGGCTTGGTAGCGCTGACGAGTCTGGGCGGGACCGAGAGCCGCGCGAATGGCGCGAGCGATTGTTTACAAGAGTGGAGTCCCGTGAAGGAGCTCCGGATGGAAAGTTTTGTTTTGTGTTTACCTCATAGTTAAAGTTGTTGCACGTCCGCCAGTTCCTGCCTCAAAATGAGCGAGTTTAAGCCACTTGTACATCCCGGAAGTTGCAGGAAAAGCAAAAAAGCAGAGAGGAAACTCGACACAGAGGAACAGTAACACCTCACTGCCAACTAGCGTTTCGAAAGTGTTAATGCAGACCGACAGAGACAGCGCGCAGAAGTATATATGCACAGCCACGCGCGTTGCCTGCGCCGTGAGTTACGCCGGTCACTTGACGCAGAAGTATAAATCAGGCTTGAGACGGAGCAGCAGCGTTTCAGAATGAAAACGGCCTTTCCAGCGTTTTCGAAACGCTCCGTTTTCGGCGCTCGAGAACTCCGGCGTAGTGTGGACGGATGGCGTAACCGTAGCAAAACTTATGCGTTTTCAAACTAAAACGCACTAGTGTAAACGGGGCCTGAGGCTGCCTAAGGCAAGCTCGTTCAAGTTTGTTATTACGAATGGAGGGACACGCACGGAACGCAACACGTTCACGCTTTTCAGGCGCACCTAGTTGAGATGACAGTAGGTTTTTGTGACCGCGGGAACTGCCTACGGCTGAAGATTTAGGAAGAAGCAATGGAAAGTACACAGGTTTGCAAACCCACTTAAACCCACTTACAAATAATGGCACCGATGAGAGCAATCATGTGGCGAGTGTTGATCTGCCAGCCAAGATGAATCAAGTGTTTTCGGTGAGAGTGCTGAAAGACTGAGCGTGAGCAGCGCATGGTTTTTTGGGGTCTATGTTAACAGATTAGAGCTTTCATACTGTACGCAAAAGCAGCGTGTCAGAACGAGGCGTAAGCATCACTAAAGCAGCAGTGCCGTGATAGTTTTGGCACTGGGTCTATTTTTGCCATGCTGCACATGCTCATTTAAGGTGACAATGCATTAATAATGACCAAGAACACATTGAATGAAAGTAAAAAGTAGCACTCCAAGCGATTGCCTAAACAAGATTACTACACCATAGGCTAGACTACGCTACAATAAAACTACCAATTTCATTTAATGCTGCAAACAAGTTAAACCAGTGTAATATATTACTATACCTCCCTCGTATTACCTCCCTCATTTGTAATTTTAATACTAATGTCCTTGACCAGCAAATCAGAGTAGTCCGCTGACCAGCGGTTTTGGTTTGGTTTTCAGAGCAGCTGCAAACTCCAGTAATAAATAGCACTTATTAGTGCAACGTGCGGGGTTGGACAGTTCCACTTTTGTGCGGAGGGGGACTTTAATTTTGATTGACAAACTTACAGTAGCTAAAGTGTTCTGTTAATCATCAACATTAAATTACATTCATATTCCGCCTTACACCTGTTACATGTTTTCAATGCATTTTTGTTTCTTTGCTGCCATCTCCGTGTTCTCTGGCTTCTATTTTTTAAATTTATTTATTATCTGTTTTTTGTTCTGTCTCTGTTATTCTGTTGCATTGTAGAAACTCTGTCACGAAAGCAAATTCCTCGTATGTGTGAACATACCTGGCAATAAAGCTCTATCTGATTCTGATTCATAGTAGGATAAACAATCACTGTGGAAGTAAATGATTACCATTATCTTTAAAATATCTTCTTTTAGGTTCAGCAGAAAACAAAAACTCATAAAGGGTGAGAAAATAGTACATATAATTTTCTTTTTTTGGTGTGAACTATCCCTTTAAATCTGTAACCAGAAACTGACACATGTAGTGCAGTCTGAACGTGTCAAGTGTGTGTGCTGGTTCTTACTCATCCCCATCAGGACATGTCCCCGTGCCCTCATCGTATTTAACGCAGTACACGTCAGGGCTGTAATTAAAGGTTCCATCTCGTCTGCGAATCGGCCTCCGTCGTCTCTGGTTCAGGAAGTGCCAGTGAAAGCAGGTGAAAGGCCTGTGCTGAGTACACTTGTGCTGAACAAAAAGAGGACACTGTTCTGTCCGAAACTCCTTCAGATACCTAAGATTAGAGATTAAGATTAGGAGTTCGTCACACACTATAATAGTTAAACTAACAAAACACAAAAATAGCATGGACGTGGCTACTAAACATTTGAAGGATGAAAATAGAGCTGGACAATATATCATTTCAGTATTGATAATGCAATGTGTGCATTCACTGTAATCGCATCGCAGGATCTTTAGCAAAGTAGTTGTGAAGTCACAGCAAATATTAACCATAAAGTTAGTAAAGCGTTTATCATTTGTGTGTGGTTTTAAGGCCTGTGCAACTCTATCAAGCCACTTTAAAGTATTCACACACAAGAAATTATGTTTGTAACTTTAGAAAAGATGTGTTTGATTTATGTATAGACCATTTTGAGGGATGTAAGAAATAACAATGGTCCTGGTTTATTTCCTGTTTTAGATCTTTCATTTTCTAAGCTTCTGAGAATCCAGAACGTTCCATATGTTGATACTTCTTATAATGACAGCTGTGTTAACATTAGTTGTGACTGAATCGCCTCTTGACAGTCCTAAAAAAGTTTTAAGACATGCAGGAACTGTTCATGAACCAATGATATATCGCTATATTGAAATGGTCTATTTATGATGAAGACTGCACAGTGTTGTTTTACATTTAACTATTTAATTTGTGTATCTGAATTTGCTAGACTCCCACAAAACACTGCATTTCATTTGCTCTACTGTATTTATCAGAGCTTCTGTTTGGCTTATTTTATTCTATGCTGAAGCACTGTCCTACAAAATCATCCCAATCAATCTAAAATTGTGATTTCTTTCCAGAAAGAGCTATTTATTTCATCTGGTGAAAATGATACTTAATATTGCAATATATAATGTAGAAAAACTAAATATCGCAGTTTTCGCCAATATTTTGTCGCCCTAGTTGAAAACTTAAAATCTGCAAAGCCGGACAGATGTAAAAATAAACACTATTTCAAAGAGTGTAATATCTGTCGTTTTTATGACCTGACTTTCAGAAGAAAAAAATATATATTTAATATTATTATTAATATTATTATTTCCTTTATTTAGCCAGGAGATCACATTGACACAGCACTGTCTTGTCTTCTAGTGAGACCAGGTCAAGATGGCAGGAAACACATAAACTTTCACATAAAAATCACAAAAACAATACCACTAGATTACAAAATCACCATTCATAAAAAGATCAGATCATAAAAAAAAACAATTACAAATATCCTTTAAGATGTTGTACAAAAGATATTTAAAAGTACTCAGAGTCGGAAGTGTGTCAAGATTGAGCTGATTTTGCAGGTCGTTCCAAGGCACTGGGTGCATAAAAGGAAAAAGCACGTTTGCCAAGTTCTGAAAATACCCTTGGGACTGTTAAATACAGGAAAATACAGGACTGTTCCAAATACAGGAACCAGATCTAGTGTGTTGGTTATTTATGTGAAATGTTAATGGGTAAATTAGTAATTTTACCATTTTGATATAGAACCCTGGTGCTGCAGAAACAAAAAGTCAAAATGTTTGAAAATATAGTATATACTATGTTCAAGCTTATGCTCAACACATTAATATTATAATAAAACTTGCAATGTCTGACATAATGATGCTCAAACATCTTCAATTATCTGGCATGAATTATTAATCTTTAAAGTAGAGCTGTATGATATTGGAAAAAATTTAAGATTGCAATATTTCATTCATATGAATACAGTTTGACTTTTATGGTTTTCTGGGGAGCCTAACAGTATTCAAGCACAGTAATTGAACAGTCACAATGCAAAAAATGCTTTTCTTACTTTGTTTTGTCTCGTTTCTAGTAAAAATATTTTTTAAAAAATCCTTAAATCAAGCTAAAATATTGGTTTGTTTTCAACTTGAGAAGTAATTAGTCAAAATTAAGAGTTTTTCAGTAAAACAGGTAAAATGATCTGCCAGTGGGGTAAGTTTTTGCTTTGAAATGTAGACATTTGGACTAAAACAATGACAAAAGAAACACTTTTTTTTTTTTTTTGCATTAATTGTAAATATATTCCATATGAATACAGTAATAAATAAAATTCTGGGGCTCCTATTTAACAATCAGACTCAACATTGCATATCTTGTGATGCAGTGGTGTAAAACAACAAATTACAAATACTCAAACTACTGCAATCGAGTAGTATTTCTCAGAAATTGTAATTTACAAAGAAGTTTTAAAAATATGTACTTTTACTTTCACTTGAGAATAGTTTTAGTGCAATATCGGTACTTTTACTCCACTACTTTCCTTCAACCTGCAGTCACTCCTTATTTTTTCTTGTCTAAGGGTTTAGAAAAATCCTGTCATTCCTGTCCAATCAAATCAAACATAGAAGGTAAATTACATCAAAATGAATAACCCCAAGACATGGGTGATTTAAAATTGCAGCAAACTGTTTGGAAGCATTAAAACTGTCCAACAAGATGTCCTAAATCTTTACACGCAATGACCCAGAGACTGTTTAGATGCATGTTACTGATGAGAAGATGACTGAAGTTTACTGTATGGTGACCAAAATGGCATCATGACCTCAGATTGAAGTTGTACCAGAACGTCATTGGGACGTTACATTTTGTTTAGAAATGAAAATTGGGTTGGCATCAGAACCCAACATCAGGCTGACGTCAATGTCCAACGTCCAACCTATAATTAACCAAATATCAACGTCTAATGATGTTACAGCTTGACGTTGTGTGGACGTTACCATTATGACGTCTATCGGATATTGGAGTTTGTTGTCATACCTGATGAATAAGTGTCAGTATTTGATGTCTATATGCCGTAAGTTTAAGATGTTGGCTCGACGTTGGATTTCAGTCAGTTTCTAACACAACCTAATATAAAAAAAATACCAACATCATTTGACGTCATTATTGGACATCAAAAAAATGTTGTCCTTAGAAGCTGGCTAAACATTGAATTTTGGTCACCTGATATCACAACCTAAATCTAACCTAATATTAACGTCCTTTGACAGTGTGTGCCTGCTGGGCAATAATTAGATTCACTACAGAATGTTACGTTTACACTCATCCACAAATTACATGTTAATGCATGAGCTTTTTACACCATAATACTTTCCCGAGTACTTTTGAAAGGTCTACTTTTTACTCATACTTTGAGTAATATTTACAACAGATACTTTTACTCTACTTGCACTACATTTTTAGGCAAGTACTGGTACTTTTACTTTTTCAGTACTCTTTCCACCACTGTTGCGATGTGACTATTGCGAGTGTGCACACTGCAATATTGATGCTGAAACCATATTTTGTGCAGCCCCACTTTAAAGGCCTTGTGAAAGTGATGGAAATATGCATAGTGGATTCTAAAGTACTATTTCTAATCATACAATAATGAGGAATGACAGCAAACTTATAAAGATGCTTTTCATGCATTATTTACATCATTACACAGATTTGCTTATTTGATAAGAAAAATCTAAATGTGTTTTACTCTTATGATACATCTAAATTTCTCTTTAAAAACCTTATATGCAGGTTTAAATCCAAAAATAAACACATTTGGAAGATTTTTAGGTAATGACTGGAAAGCCTTGAAATGGCATTATAAAGTACTAGAAATGTGTATAGTGGTTTTGAATATCAGTCTTTAAATATTTTATATAACCAGCTAAATCTGGCTTGCTTGCCATTTCAGAGTTAAACATTTTACTTATTTGTAAGCGTATTGAAAAAAAACCTGACCAAATGTAAAGTAATTCATCAAAAGCTGTGTGTGGACAGTTATGTGGCGCTCCCTCAGAGGTTTGTGATGAAAAATAATAGACTTGCACTTTAAAAACTATTTCACAAAGGATAACACATCACATTAATTAACCATTCATAGCTTGCCTTCATTACTGTTTACAAATCACCAGGAAGCTGAAGTCCATCCTTCAAAACATCACCTCACAGCAATAAATGCACAGACCATCACACCACTAGGCCTGCATTAAATTAATCTCTCAACCCAGATCACCAGAGCCACCAAACCCCATCAGAGGCGTGTAAAATGTGCTGATGCATGAAAGATGTGTGATTTGCATGAGCGATCAGGTGGGTGTAAGTTAAAGGTGTTTGGTTACGTACGTGTAGTGCTGGGGCTTCTCGGGCTGTGCGTGCAGCACGTTAGCGGGGGAAGTCGTGCCACCTGCCGAGGGAGACGAGCAAGAGGAGGACGATGAAGGTCCCAGGCTGGCCGCAGCACCCGAAGAACCGGGCAGAGATGGTGCTTTCGACATGATTTATCAAACTATGGCCATCAAACTATTTAATATTGGGAGAGCTGCGAAGTCCGCATTCTTTTTCGATGTGCGCATGCGCTAGATCTCTCGAGGAGGAAATTCCGGGCCATTGTGGTGACGTCGAGTTTGGGAGCGAATCGACTCTTTTGAACAGTTCAGTTCAGTTCAATATATGCACAAAGGACTGCTGAGCCGGTTTAAATGATTCTTTGAAAAGAATCAGATGATTCCATTAGTTCAATACATCGGACCTCTTTACGTCATAGGGGAGTGAAGTCAGACATAAGGAATAGATGTAATATCCAAATTAAGAGCGAGATATAATTCAAATTTAAAGTCGTAGATAAACTGCATCAATCATCGTAATTTATTTCTTTACGAAAAGTATTACATAATAATATAATATTAATATAATATAATGCATACTTGTTTGATTAGAAATGTATAAATAATTATGTTTTTAAAAATGTTAAGTATATCTTTAAAAATTCATTTGTACTTAAAAAAGCATAATAAAAAAGGCAAACAGTTAATTAACAGTTGATTTAAATTCGTGTTTTAGTCATTTTTTTAAATTTACAATAAAGTACTAAGCATAAAATCAAAAAGATCAAATTTACAAAAGAATAGACGATATTAAAGGCATCAGATTTTGTAACAAAACCACAATTCTGTATTTCAATATTGCACATATACAGAATATTACAGTAAGATATTACAAACTATCATACATACAGATACAAAACAATAAACTATAGATATATTTATATATTATATTGTTATATGTAACAATACATTAGATAGTAAACACACAGTGCACATTTGAAGATGTCCAGTTCACTCAAGGTTTTGAGATTTTCAGACAAACCATTCTGTATGCTTAAACCCAGCAGCTGTAGGCACAAAAATGTACAAATGTAAATCGAATTAAATTAATTCCACATAATCCTTTTATTGGATGAACTCACTCACCTATACGGTTAACAATCTCTTCACACTCACTACAGTTAGCGGCCTGTAGGACCACACAACAGAAGCCCGCCGGTTTGTCTGCTTGTGGTGCATCTCTGAAACCAATAAAACATTACTGAATAAAGTCCAAGTTTGAAAACACAAAAGCCTGGAAGGAAATGTCACTGATAAGCAAATGAAATGCAGATAACCCAGTCTCATAATAACCTGCCTGACATTTACTCAAACTCCAACACCAGATCAAATACAGAACGCCTGTAATAATCAGAGTTAAAATAGAAGCATTTGATATTTCATGACGGAAAGCTTTGTGTAAGCATGTATCTCATTTTAAAGGCTTGGTTTGTATGAATTTCAATGCATTGTTTGATTTTTTTTTTTACTGCCAACGTGTGAAAGACTAATAAAAAAAATGCTCTCTGGTGGATTGATTTAAACTTTAGTCTTACATCGGAAGATGTATAAAGTCGATAGTCTTATATTTCCACATATATTTATATTATAACAGTGTTGGAAGTAACGCATTACCAGTGGTGTAAAGGAGTACACAAAAATCATACTTAAGTAAAAGTACCATTACTTGCCTAAAAATGTAGTGCAAGTAGAGTAAAAGTATCTGTTGTAAATATTACTCAAAGTAGGAGTAAAAAGTAGACCTTTAAAAAGTATTTAAGAGTAGTGAGTAGTAAGTATTTCGCAGTAAAAAGCTGATGCATGTATAAGTAATTTGTACATGTGTGTGTAAACGTAACATTCTGTAGTGAATCTAATTATTGCCCAGCAGGCACACAATGTCATTAGACGATAATATTAGGTTAGATTTAGGTTGTGATGTCAGGTGACCAAAATTCAATGTCTAACCAGCATCTAAGGACAAGGTTGTTTTGATGCACAATAAAATGATGTTGATTTTAGGTTATTAGAAAGTGACCAAAATCCAACGTCGAGCCAACATCTTAAACCAACATCACATTGAAGTCAGATACTGACATTTATTCATGAGTTATGGCAACCAAAATCCAACGTCTTATAAACATTGTAGCGGTAACTTCCACACAACGCCAAGCTGTAAAATCATCAGACATTGATTTTTGGTTGGTTTTAGGTTGGATGTTGGACATTGACATCGGCCAGACGTTGAGTTCTGACATAAACCCGATTTTCATTTCCAAATAAAAAAGCAACATCCCCACGACATTAGGGTACAACGTCTTGTGCCTGCTTGGTGTTTAAGGCCATTTCGGTCATCATACAGTAAACGTCATACAGTAAACGTCATCTTCTCATTGGTGACATGCATCTAAACAGTCTCTGAGTCAATGCGTGTAAAGATTTTGGACATCTTCTTGGACAGGTTAAAGGAAAGCAGTGGAGTAAAAGTACCGATACAGCACTAAAAATGTACTCAAGGGAAAGTAAAAGTACACGTTTATAAAACTCAGTAAATTACAATTCCTAAGAAAAACAACTAAATTACAGTAGTTTGAGTAATTATAATTAGTTACTTCACACCACTGCAAATAGATATCTATACAAAATACTTCCAGCATGAAATAAACAAATATAAAAAGCATTTTGTGATGTTCAATCCAAATAAATTCAGAATTCAAAGAAAAAAAGTCAGAATTGCAAAATGTAATCTCTAAAATATAAAGTGTAAACTGTGAGTTAAAAGGTCACAGTTAACTTTTTACATTAATTTTAATCCTGTTGCAGAAACATGCTTCTGTACACCTGCTACTTAATGCTTCTCAAAATACTTACAATACACAAAAAGCAAAAATGGTTAAATCCGGTTGGCTTCCGAATCTCCCAACGCATGATATCTCAGGGAAGTGGTGTTGAAACAGCTCCTGTTAAAGAGAACAAAAAGTTTCTTAAAGCAATCTCTGTTCACACATTACTTCAGAGTAATACAAACCTGCTTAGTAGACTTATCTATGCAGGTAAGATGAGTCTCCTTTACATCCAGCAGAACTTCCTTTACAACAAAATCAGAAGCATGAAAAATTAAACATCTTCATCTCTCTACATAAAACTCACTTGCTCAATTGCAGATATACCTTTCTTGTCTGTTTACTCTCCAGGACCACAGGAATGGCATGCTGCAGAACCTCCTTACCTCCATACTTAAAATGAAACAAAAAGTAACATGCATAGTCAATACGTAGACTTAAAAATACACATGCATGGATTACAGATAAGCAAGAGCACCATAAAGAAAGAGAGAGGGAGAGATGTTTACACAGCTACTGTACCATTCCTATGTTTGCTTTTCCTAAGAGGTCCACGGCATACAGGATCCTGTTAATGAAAGCCGATCAAACAGTGACAGGCCGGGCTGTTTATGGCATTTGAGACTAATCCATTGTAAACATCTTTATTGAGAGTACCTGCCGTCTTTTACACACTGCGTCTGGCTTTTCTTCTGAGCTGCTGTGGTTTTGTCCTGCTGAGAGGCTGGTTTGGGGCCAAACTGAAGCGAGGGTTTTTCTTGTTCGAGCTGCCGTAAGTGTTTGACCAGCGGCTGATAGATGGAGCCATCTTCTCCTCTCCAGCGTATGAAGTGAATGGAGAGCGGCTGACCCTTGAGTTTAGACAGAACCACACCTGCCTTTGGAGGGGAGAAGTGTGTGGCCTGTTAGATTTTTGGTTATGTATATTTCTATACATATTTCACATTTCGTTTTTGTCAGAAGATTCTTTTATCTTGTCTTTCATATTGTGATGTACATCTGAGAGAAACAAATTACTGAAAAAAAGGAACAATAAAATGAGGGGGCTGAGTTCTGCAAAGTCATGGTGCAGTGTAAAAATAATGAATATTGTGTATGACTCCCATGAGCTTGGAGGACTGCATCCATACATCTCTGCAATGACTCCAATAACTTAATAATAAAGTCATCTGGAATGGCAAAGAAAGCGTTCTTGCAGGACTCCCAGAGTTCATCAAGATTATTTGAATTCATCTTCAATGCCTCCTTCATTTTACTCCAGACATGCTCGATAAATTTCATATCTGGTGAATGGGCTGGCCAATCCTGAAGCACTTTGTCCTTCTTTCAGGAACTGTGATGTGGAGGCTGTAGTATGAGAAGGAGCGCTATCCTGCTGAAGAATTTGCTCTCTGCTGTGGTTTGTGATGTAATGGGCAGCACAAATGTCTTGATACCTCAGGCTGTTGATGTTGCCATCCACTCAGCAGATCTCTCGCATGCCCCCATAGTGAATGTAACACCCAACCATGATTTTTCCTTCACCAAACTTGACTGATTGCTCTGAGAATCTTGAGTCCATGCGAGTTCCAATAGGTCTTCTGCAGTATTTGTGATTATTAGGATGCAGTTCAACATGATTTATCAGTAAAATCTACCTTCTGCCACTTTTCCAAATGATCAACTAGAAGTCAAGCGATTATTTGTTGCTCTTACAACTGGGATCGAAGACAATACTTCTTTCAGGTAGTGTATAACCATGCCTAATATCAGATGGAAAGAAAGTGATTAATTTTTTTAGAATATTGATGCCTGTGAGGCAGTAAGTCCAGAGACTGTTTTGTACACCATGACTTATTTTTTTTTTAAATCACTTTAATGTGTTATATGACTATAAAAATGGTCATAAACGAATATTTTCTTAATTCAACTGAGCATTGGCTTGAACCCGGAAGCAGTACTCCATATGTCATGACTTAACAAGTGGATTGGACAGCATTAAACTTGTTGAGTCGTTGCAAAATCTGTGTTTAAATTTTGCCCTCATGTCTGCTTCACAAACTATGTTTATTGCTATAGAATGGCAGCATTTTGCTATAAAAAATCATTAAGTGGTGTTAAATGTGACCACTGTAAGAAATAAGTGAGACTTATGCAGAGTAGAGTGTTTACAATACATAGCATGGAAAACCTTTCATGCAATATACACAACAGCATTTTCATTTGTCCTTTTCGCCAACTTTTAATGCAATAAAGCATGCGATTGAGAGCGTGCACAGCACACCCATGCGCAAAAGTCCAGGAATAAAAGTGTTATTTTTAAAAAAACGCATTGGGCATATTAAAAACTGCTATTTAAAACTGGTTAACCAATGAGAATGGCACTTTTGTTCATAAAC